CTTCTTTTTCGGAAGGAAAGATATATGATATACACATTCAAATCTAATGGACTTTTTTCACTCTAAACAAGGTCTCTTTTCTTTCTTCTCTTTTCTTTCTTGTCCCTGGAGTTTACAATTGAGCATATGAAATACTATTGACTTCTCTCAATTGAGAGGAAAACGTAGACGGAGAAAAAACTGCCTAAAGAAAACTTCTCGAAAAAAAAAATAACATAAAACAAATGATCTCATTTATTCCATATTTAAATAACAAATTATCCTAAAAATAGAAATAACGAAAAGTAAATGTAACTTCGATTCTACCACTTGGCCACGTGTACTTCCCATTTACTCCCGTGGGTTTAACATAAAAAATAGTTATCTAACAAAGGAAGGTTAACTAAAAATCAGATCACATTCACTCGAATTTTTCATATTTTGTATAAATATATAGCTATTCTATTATATTTAACTAGTATTATTAGTTAGAAATTTTTCTATTTGTTATAATTGTTTGTTGTCCGCATCAGTCAAATCAACTAAAAGGGATCATTTCTCAGGGAAGAACCAATCAAGGAATTTTATTATATCCCTTCTAATCCAAGATCGTTCAATTTTTTTTGGTATTTTGTAAGAGTAAACGATACAGAGATACATTAGAGAATATATTTTATAAAAATAAAATTATATTTATATAAAAATAAAAAAATATGTTCTATGTAAGACATAAAGTAGTTCCATTTAGGAACTTCTAATGGAGATATGTGAATCCATTAGGTTCTACAAAAAAATTGTTTTTTCGTCAATTCAAAACCCGGAAAAAGGTTTTATAAGATTAAAAAGGTCCGTTGAACGTCTCTTGGCTATGCTAGTATTTATCTAACAAATATTCTTTCACAAACTAAAAGCATGTCCATGATTTATTCTAATTCTATTGGTCTCTTTTCTTTTTTTCTTTCTCTTCATGTGATCTTTCTTTCTCTTCATCTGATCTTAATTTAGTTTTTCTTTCATTTTCTTCTGCTTTTATGATTCTATTTTGCATTCTGTTTTTGCATCGAGGATATTCCTCACGTAACAAGGTAATAACCGATTTGCTCTTAGATTGGACCATTGTTCCTCCTTTTCTACATGGCCTATATGTAGGTGGGAAGTACACACCGAATCTTGCATTAAACCAATGTTTATCGAAGTTAACGTGTACGCGACTGCTCGCTTCCTTACTTTAGTCCGAGGATCCTCGATACATTGATCCCCTATCATCTCATGATATTCTTTCAGTATGCTTTTAGTCAGAGTGATATATATCCTCCAGGCAATGAAGTTAGGGCTATCGAGTTGTGTTTTTTTACGCATTGTAGCTTTTTTGGGATCTTAGACGACGGTCGGGTCCACTTTGAGAATTGCTTGGAGTACCAGTGCCCAAAAAGAAAAGGCACCTACTACAAGGGACATGGTGAGCATAAGATCGAGGGAGCTCTTATAAGGCTAGTGAACAAGGTCTGAAACCCAATATGAAAACATATCTGCTAAACCTCGATCAGGTATTTCTCGAAAGATCCTTTTAGCTCGCGCTGCACTAGGTAGACCCGCCAAAATACTTATCGATTTGAAGGGGCCGCTTTGGCTGACCCAAGTGTAAGAAATCCATAGGCCAAGGTTGTATATGTATCCACTATCTCCTCAAGGAAGATTTTTTAGACCAACACGTTCATGATCGAATAAGATAGTTATCGTTGTTTTGAGTTTCCCACGTTCTAGCGGACCTGCTTTAAATACATTTAAGGTTGTTGTTCATTCTTTGCCTACACAAGAAGAAGAGGAAACCCACTCTCTTCTTTCTTCTTTTTTAGAACCAAGTACTTGAAGACATAATAACAATTATGTTAAGAAACTAGTTCGTTGAGAATTTTGTTGATCTCGTAAGATACAAATTGTAGAGCCCAACCAAAAATGATGGGACTCGGTATAGACACAGTCCAGTTCCCAGGTTAGAGTATTCTTTATTATCAACCTACTCAAATCAGAACTCAACTAGTAGATTCTCTTTCGCTTATCGACCGGCCGACTTTCATTGTTGCAACCTTCGCATTTCCTGCTGAGATCCCAAGTCTCCATGTGGGCCCTTTTAGCAACCCGCGACCTTGGCGATTTAGAGAATCCTGCTCCTGTGTCGTGGGACTTGTAGCTTAGCAGTCCACCAGGTGGGTTTTTTATCCTTCCAGTTTCGAGTGTGTTCTTGGATAGTTATAGTGGCCCATAGGAGCAAGATGTACCTTGTGTGTGGGGGGCGGCGGTCCCCTGGACATAGTCCTTTCAGACAGTGGCCGTTGTTTAGTCCATGGTCCATTAGTTGGTTAGTGCAAGGTCAGAAATTTGAACACATTGATTCCGCTCGTTCTCGTCCTTTGCTTCAGGGCCTGTCCGTCGGTATGGTCAGTACTCCATACTGTCGGGTAGCAAAGCTTACACTTGTTCACTAATTATGACGGTTCACCAGGGCCTCTTTCCCCCTCCCTTTTCAGCTCACTCGTAGGGTCCAGACCCCAACAAAGGGGGTGGGAATCGACTGAACATCGTTGGCGAAAATTTTGCCCACATCCGATCCCCAATTCTTGCTCACCACCGATGATCGTGTTGGGTGACTTGTGACCTCGTACGATCGTGTCGGGTGAGCAAGAGCCGCTTCGTCACAGTACTGACTTATAGGCTAACGGGTCACACTTTGGCCAAGTATCCTACAAAGAGATTCCCGAAAGCCAGAAGGATTAAAGGAATGACCATAGGAATGAGCGCATCATGACATCTTACGATGTCTCGCCCGAATGAATGAGTTGGTACTAGAAATGTTAGAAAAAGTGAACGAAAAGAGTAACAAGAGGTGAAAAGGACAGAGACACTTCCCAACCAGATAGAAAAGTTCCCACTGATGGTATACTTAGTGTAAGCGAGCTCTAAGATCATATCTTTGGAATAAAATCCAGCTAGAAAAGGAAATCCTATTAGAGATAAGCTGCCCATGAACATCATGGCATAGGTAAAAGGGAACGAGGAGGCAAGCCCCCCCATCTTCCGCATATCTTGCTCATCCGACATGGCATGAATCACCAAACCTGCACTCAGGAATAGTAATGCTTTGAAAAACACGTGATTCATTAAGTGAAAGACGCTAACTGAATAGTTAGAGATGCTGCAAGCAAAGACCATATAGCCTAATTGACTGCAAGTTGAATAAGTTATGACCCTCTATAGATGGTTTTGTAATATTCCAGTGGTTGTCCCAAGGAATGAGATCATAGCTCCTGCAAAAGTAATAATAATCAAAGCCGTAAGTGGGTATTCAAATAAAGGGGAGCACCTTGCTATCATGAAAACGCCAGCTGTTACCATAGTAGCTGCATGAATTGAAGCGGATACTGGAGTGGGCCCCTCTATAGCATCGGGTGACCAAGTATGCGATCCTATCTGTGCGAATTTCCCAACAGCACTACTAAGAAGTAAAATACAAATGAGAGTTATGGCATTCATTCTCATATTACAAGAAATCCAAGAATTTTTGGGGCACTAGCATGAGCAAAAAATAGTTGAAAAGTCTACTGTTTGAAATAGAGTAAAACGACCCGAAATCCCAGGTGCTAATCCAAAATCACCTACTCGATTGACAGGCATAGCTTTTATAGCTGCTTTATCTGCCTGAAACCGTATAAACCAGAAATGAATTAACAAATATGAAGCAAGACCTACTCCTTCCCATCCTATAAATAATTGAAGAGACTTATCTCCAGTCACCAACATTGGCATAAAAAAAGTAAAAATGGATAAATAACACATAAATCGAGGGCTATGCGGATCCTCAGACATATATGAAATGGAATAAAGATGGACCAAGCTACTTATGAATGTAACCACAATTAGCATCACTATGGTAAGGCTATCGAACACATAGTCAGAAGTGAATTTCGGACTAATTTGCTAATCGAGCTAGCTCCTCTTGCATGCAATGATGTGGTGATGAACCTCTCATTCTAGTTCAGTGCTCTCTGAACCGTGCGGAAGGTTTTCCATCACACGGCTCACCAACTTGATCTTTCACGGGAACCGTATGTCCGAACAGACCTGTAAAAAGAGGTACGATCTCGCTTTCCTTTGCCACTCAAGTGTATGTACAGCATCTGTCGTGCTTAGGACCCTTCTTCCCTTCCCTAATGAAAGAGTCCACCGCATACCTAAGTAGTCCTTAGTAGTCAGTCTGCAGGCTTGCCTTTCAGTAGGTGATTCAGCGAAGAAAGGGGGAAGAAAAGGCTAGATCAAGAAAAGGGGGTACTACGAGCCCTCTGCCCCACACATCTAACCTGCTCGCGTGGTACACTGATTCCACCAACTAGAAAGAGTGAAAAAGTGATACAATGCGCTTAAAGTGGGGGTGTGCTGTCCCTATTGGGGTGAGCCCTTCCCCACCTTCCCCATAAGGCCCACCATCGGGGACAGAGGTGCGCTTAAAGTGGGGGTGTGCTGTCCCTATTGGGGTGGGCCCTACCCCATAAGGCCCCACCATCTGGGCATAAGCATTCTGCATAAGCGCCCTCTAGCTACCCATATATATCGAATCACCAACTACCAAGTAAATAGTGTGGGGGTGTGCTGTCCCTATTGGGCTGGGCCCTTCCCCATAAGGTCCAGGCATAAGCGCCCTCTTGCTACCCATAGTCTAAGTCTTTTTTTCTAGGAAGAGTCTAGCCTAGCCCTATTATATGCCCGGTTCAAATTGAACAATTGTTGACTATCTCACATTGCCTAACATTCAATCAACTTGAAACTTTATGAAAATGTACTTGCTTCACAATAATGCAAGGACCTTCTTCAAAAAGGAATTATTTCTTTATTAATTTTTTTAATTTGAATTTTTAAAAGTATATTTTTAACTTGTTTATACTTTATTTATTTCTATAGAATTAATTGTTATAATACTATGTATAAAAAGTATTTATAAATTAATAAAGATCAACAAAGGGAAATTCTAAAAATCTAACTCTTTATTCATAGACAAAAAAGGAGGCTAATCTACCATTACAACCTTAATTAATCAAAAACTAAGAGTTAGTTCTAACATTATTAGCGGTTAGAAAGCTGTTCCAACTTAAAAAAGACTTAGTTCACCCAAGCACTTCTCATACTCCAAGCACTTAAATACTCCACCGTGATAGACTCTGTTCCATTGTTGAAAACATGCAAATGAGCATCCCCAAACACCGCCTTTGTTGGGTATACCCTCGAAGTTATGCATGTTTTTCCTCCCCCACCAAAGCTCTCTATCACCGAGTGATCAATCTGCACAATAATACATAGTTTAGATTTGTCGATACGGTGCAAGAATGTATTGGACTATGACTTTAACGTACCAAGCTTCTTAATGAGAGCTTTTTACTCGACAAATCGATGTCGACGAAACCCGCAAATGTCGGCTTGTATAATCCATCTTTCAAAGATGAGCTACACCAAAAGAGAGAAACCAGAGTTTTGTAAATATAAAAAAAATAATTATAAGGTCCTTTGATAAGGGAATTGAAGCTACCTTCTTGCATCAGAGCACATAAGAACCACGTGATTAGCCTCTGCCTTGAAGATCCTGAAGAACACAGGAGTGAACTCCTCGAGGTTTTCTGAAGCCAGAGTCAAAAGCCCAAAGGGTCCCACACCACCTTGGGCCGTGGATCCCAGCTGACTGCACACGGCTTGCGCGTCAACCCAGCTTGGATCAAATGCCTCCGCGTTATCCAAACTCGAAAAGCTAAAGATAACTTCAACATCGGCCTGTATAAAACACAAGAAACAATCGATCAAATGACGCCCAATTTGTTCCCTTAATCTTAGAGGTGCTTTCACATCTTCTTAACCCGCTACAAACCACTATCGGGGATTCGTTATAAATTAAACAACCTGAGCCGCAGTAATTCCTTTGATCTCAACATTTTGTCCCTTAACCAGCTTTTGATTTAGCATCATAACTATCTTCCGTCTCAGCCTATTGAGCTCCATAATTGGCCATTGTAAGAGCTGTTTTCCATTGGGATCCAACCACACCGTCCTAGGAATCGCCTAGGAAAAGGAGAAAGAAAAGATCGGCCCAAATACAAAATAGAGCAAATTCAATTAAAAATAGAACAAAACAGAGCACATTGCATCTAAAACAAACCTGAATTCCCGCCCATCCCTTGGAAACATCATCCTGGACACTATCAGATTCATTAGCCCAACCCCACAAAACCCTTCTCTTCTTCATCGGATCATAGAATGACTTGGAAGCATAGAAATTTCCATAGTCATACCTCAGCCCACTCCACCCATCCGCCGAGGTATTATCGGGAACATACTTGTCCGTCATCGGATAATACTTCCCCACCGTATAATACTCATATCTAGTCATCTCCAAGCTCACCTTCAACACATGTTTAAACCAATTTCCCATCACCGACGTGTCCAAGCCAAATCTACCGAAGTGGGAAACTGGATAGAAATCAGGGCACTCCCACATTCCAGTATTCGGAACCGAATGTAAAGGCTGTTCCACCTTAGTCCAATTCAAAAAATTCCTACTTCTATACAAATACGCCATTCCCGTCTGCTCGCTCCTGCTGCCAATGATGGTGTTCCAGTGACCGTTGAGGCTTAGCCATGCCGTCGACGGGTCCCGAAAGGCGCTACTATTGACCTCTGTACCCGGGTCAACAATCGGATTGTTATCCGGTTTGACCCACTCGGTTAGATGCGGATCAGAGAGGTTCGCTGGAATGGCGTAGTTTTGTACCTGTCGATTCTGGGTGTCGATTCCAGTGTACAAAATGACGGGCTTGAGGCCGGGGAGGACGGTGGCGGAGCCAGACCAGCAGCCATTGATATCAAAGGGCTTTGAGGGGGAAAGCGCGGGTTTGAGTGACTTCCAATTGATAAGGTCTTTGGAAATTGAGTGAGCCCAGACAATGTTCCCCCAAACTGCGCCTTCAGGGTTGTATTGGTAGAAGAGATGGTAGATTCCCTTGAAATACATTGGGCCATTCGGGCCTGCATAAGATGACATGTTTATGGAGGGAATGAACCGGAGGAAATACATTAATAACAACCGGAGGAAAGGAGGGAATGAAAATGTAGAAATTACGAACCGTTCATCCAGTGACGATGAGGTTGAAAGTGGAAGCCGGTTCGATGGAGCTGCTTGATCTCGGTGGTGTCGTTGCCATTTTCGAGAGACTGTAATTCAGGATAGATTTTATGGAGAGCTTGAATGACGACAGGGCCATTGCCAATAAACAGAGAACAAAAGGAGAATCCGAAAAGAATAGCTAGGAGAGTGAAGAAATTCATTGTGGAATTTGGTTTGTTAGTGAAGTTTGAAGTGAAGAAGAAATGAGAGTTTGATACTATTTATAGAGGAAGAAATATAAATTTAGTCTAAAAATAGGACAAATTTGTTAACTTAATCTCAAACTTTCAAACTTCCAAAAATGTTAAAAAAATATCTTATACTCAAGAATCTAAATTAATTTTTAAAAAAATAGGATTAATACGTTTAAATTTTATTAAAAATGTTTTAATACACGGGTTTAAAATGTCTATTTACATTGACAAATCATCTCTCACTTCCATTCCATTTTGAGGGTAATTTTTTTTTTTCTCTTTCTCATTAATGTTATTTTTAAAATTTTATAAGTATTTTTTTTAAAGAGATACTTAAGTGAGAATCTTGTAAATTTATGAATCTTGTGGGTCGGACTTTTCAAGATGGCTGTGCTTTGCGGAGCAGAGGTTGCCAGCATTGCCTTCTCTCCAAACGATAAGGTTTTTTGTTTTGGTCATCCGAATGTTGACATGCTTTTGGATCGGTATCTGACTCGAAATTTGTCGTCGCCGAAGCCGGCCGAGAATTTTGTTCCTGTAACGGAGTTTAATCGCGATTTCGCCGATTTAGTGTCTAAGTTTGAAGTGGCAAAGAAGCGAGCAGAAGAATTGACTCACGTGTCGGAGAAATCGAGAAATAACGGCGAATTTTGGCGGGAGGAGGCGATAGAAAGGATGAGATTAGAGGAATGGAAGGAGTTTCGATTGTCATTCATGGATTCGAGAGCTAAAGTGGCAAAGAAAGTCGAGAAAATGATCCGAGGGCCTCTGTTGCCATCGTCGTTTCACCTAGCCAAGAACCACCACACAAGGTTAGGGTTTTTCTAGATTTTTTTGAGGTACTCTGTTTGATTTATTTTCTCTACATTTTACTTTCTTAAACTGTTCAGAGAACGATCTACTTCATATATATATTTTTCTCTTTTTTATTTCACAAAAATTGTGAAATAATCCCTAGAAAAAAACTCATCGAGGATGGATGATCACATAATTTTCTCATTATGGCCAAATCCCTCTCCCTTCCATCGCGTCCCTTCAATTCCCCTTCTTCTTCCATTGGAACCCATCTCTCTCAACCCCCCAAAATCTCTTGTTCTTCCATATCCATTCAATCTCAATCACCCAAAGACCAACTCCTCGCCCTCATCTCCGACCAAGAAAGAGGTCTCAAGACCCAGAAAAGCCCTCAGAAACTTGCTTCAATTGTGAAATCAATCGACGCCTTGGCGTCTCTGGCCCCAAATTCTGTCACAACGGACGATTCACTTTCTGCGACATGGCGTCTTCTATGGACCACTGAGAAAGAGCAGCTGTTCATCATTGAGAAGGCTCACTTGTTTGGTACTCAAGCTGGGGATGTTTTGCAGGTGATTGATGTCAAGAAAAAGAGTCTTAATAATGTCATCACTTTTCCTCCAGATGGGGTTTTCTTCGTTCGATCCAGCATTGAAGTTGCTTCCTCTCAGAGAGTGAATTTTAGGTATGTTCTCTCTGCCTCTGCTTTTAATCCATACCAATGTGCCTTTAATTTAGTGTTCATAGATGAATTGCTGTTTCAATTCAATGGTTGTATTTTAAAGCAATCAAATTAGCATATAATGTACATTTGATTTGATATTGAGTTTGAATCTGGGTGTTTAGATTTACAAGTGCTGTTCTGCGAGGAAAAAATTGGGAAATTCCTTTGCCACCATTCGGACAGGGCTGGTGAGTTAATTATCTTTATGAGTTCCCTTTTGTTCACTTTTTTATATATGGTTAATATTTATATGACATGTCTGAAATATTTGATATTAAACTCTGAGTTCACCATGTTCTTGCTGTAACAATTGATTTTGTTCGATCAATAATAGAATCAAAAGCTGGGACAAATTATAGACTGAGACTCATCAATGACTTCAATCCCTGATACATCAAAAACTCCACCTTCTGTCTCTACAAAAAGCTGATTCTCGGACAACATCATCCTTCATGTTAAAAACTCCTCCATTTTCTGTGACATGGTGTAATCCATATGAATCCAAGGGGGTTTGAAAAGTCAAAGAGAGAATTCTATTGAAGATATGTGAGATTCCACATCGGTTAGGGAGGAGAACGAAACCTTCTTTATAAAGGAGTGGAAACCTCTCCCTAGCAGACGCGTTTCAAACACCTTGAGGAGAAGCTCGAAAGGAAAAGTCCAAGAGGACAATATCTGCTAGCGGTGGGCTTGGGCCGTTACAAATGGTATCAGAGCCAGATACCAGGGGATGTGCCGAGGAGGCTGAGTCCCAAAGGGCGTGGACACGAGGGGGTGTGCCAGCAAGGAGGCCGAGCCTTGAAGGGGATGGATTGTGAGATCCCACATCGGTTGGAGAGGAGCAGATACCAGGGAGAGGTTTTCATACTTGTTTCGTTTCCCTCTCCAACCAACGTGGGATCTCGCATTAATCCTCTTTCTTTTATATCGTACTTCTCTGTTTCTGATCTGACGGTACCGGCATTAGCTTGTTGAGGTTATTCCAAAAGAACCAATACTACTTACCAAGCAGCCCACAGCACCATTGTCTCTTTTATTCCTCCAAAGAATCACGGACATGTGAAAACTGGAGTTCGATTCCATTTACAGCATGTTGAGATGTCTTGTCCTCTAATGCCTCCGGTTATAATAAGAGAGCTCAGCGAGTTCTACTTCTATTACCGTGAATGTATGATATTATTTACTTGCACCCAATCGCTTGATTTTACCTTTGGATTTTACTAAAAATGAAATGTTCTCTCTTTGTTTTTTTATTTTTTTTTTGTCCATTTCTAACTTAAATGTTCATGTCCATATCTCCAGCAACATGTAATGGTTTGGGCGTTGATATCTGTATCTAAACTTGAACGAAAGATAATGTCTAGATCTTACAGATAAGAGTATTAGATGTTCGGTTCTTTTCTCGACCATTTTATTTGTTATTCAATCATGAGCATAAATGTGGCATTTTGTCTTATTTTCTATAGGTTCGAGACGGTATACCTCGATGACGATATCCGGGTTGTAAAAGATATTCGAGATGATTATTTGATCGTTGAACGTGCTCCCTACACTTGGAAAGAATGAAAAGCTAGATCACTGGTTTTCATTGCTACTATAGAAACACGATGCAGTATTAGTGTTATAGTAATCTAAATTGATCCCGAGTACGTCTATCCTTCTGGAATCTGTGTCCTTATTATGCAACACTCATGCTGCTGCTCTCACTGTTTGGGTATTATTGTTGTAAATCTTGATTACCATTATGTGGGCTAACAATGGATAATGGGGTAATATTCATGTCAAAAGTTAAAAGGCTCAAATGTTCATATACAATCTTCATATTTACTGGTCGATGAATGTATGTAGGCACCTACCTATCTATTGATAAATATATGTTGTCACAGGTATCAATTCATTTGTATTCCATCCAATTATCTTTAGTGAGATTCCACATCAGTGAGGGGAAGCTCGAAAGAAAAATTCCAAAGAAGATTATCTGCTAGTGGTGGGCTGAGATCGTAACAAATGGTGGGCTTGGGCTGTTACAATATCATTTCATAAAAATATTTATATTGGCATGTGAAATCTTGATTATGTTTTTTTTACTAATACCTTGATTGACGGGCAAATTTATCATGATCCCAAAAAAGTGTTCTATAGGTTTTAAACTTTTAATTTTGTATATACTCTCATAACTCTTTGGTGGTTTATGTTCGGTCAATACTTCTTAGTTCTCAATTATAACAATTGCTCTCATTAATTCTCCATATGACATATCATCATTCGAAGCTGCACATCATAGTAGTCGCCATCTCCTTTTAACGTTCATCCGTCTCTCTCTCTCAACCTTTGATTCTCATCTTTAATTCGAGCTTCAACTATTTGACCAAGTTGTATGATAATTATTTGACGGATCGATGTACAGCTTTAAAACAAATCCATGCTCTCAAAGAGTAAAAAAGGTTAGGTTCTAACTTCCAACAAAACAATTTTAGGACCGATGTGGAAAGTTACTTAACATGGTGTAACATGATCTTTATATAAATTTAAATACGGTGTGGAGCCATGTTTTATATTTGCCCAAATCTTTGTGATGGTCCACTAGTAGCTGCCATTTACATGTGATGTTCTGTACCTCATGGTCCCATTTCACCCATCTTAATAATCAAATTACTCCACAATTTTTTTAAATTTTTAAATTTGACTACTTGAGCATAATCGAAACGATAAAAAAAAAAAAAAAAAAAAAAAAAAATTTTTTTTTTTTTTTTTT